ATATGGATTCTATTATTAAAATAAAAAATGATGAAACTATCTCACAGCTTTTCAGATTAGAAAATTATGAGCCATAGAAGAAAAGTGAATTGCAGCCAATCAGTGACAGAACAAAGATCAACTATGACTTATAACTATTAACTTCTATTTTCTTATGTTATACATTCACAAGCCTATCTTCATTATGAATTATTATAACCTGTTATTAAGTGTGCTTTGATAATTTATTTATTTGAAAACTTGTAATATTAATATGTTAGCATGCTGATATCTGTCTGGTTAATGCTTCATAGATAAGGGATGAGAGCAGACTAAAAATCAGACAACATGAACTACAGAGACAAGTTTAAGTATGCGAAAAACTGTCATCTGACCATCTACTCAATTATTAGCAGACTTATAATTAGATTTTTTGACAGATAATGGTTCATGTGATTTCCAGAGTGATGAAGAAAAAATTCTTATCCTCTTATTCTATAATTATTTGTGGTACATTACTGTAATTAAACCAACTGGAACATTTTGATGATTTTGCAGAATGATCAAGACTTAAATCTTCATGGATTTATTTTATTGCTATCATGACAGCATCAAAGTTCTATCACTTCAAATGCCTTTCCTCCCCTTAGGGATTAGATGAGTAATTACTCCAAAATGAATAAAACAATAAATGCTAACTGCAGCATTCCTGTAACTTGCTTCAACAGATAGAATATAAATGTAGGTGAAAAAACCTGATGCATTAGTACAACTTATTTGAAAAGGAAGAATTACATTATAAGACAATTTAAAGCACACTTAATAAGATCACTTGAAAAACTACTTTAGAACACAGCAGTATTTTACCATCAATGACAGGGGAATGAGATGGAAAAATCAGATGCCCCCAAAGGGACAACTTATAAAATAAAGTATGTTCGACCAAATAATTCAGAATACTCTTTCATGGCATAGTAGGGGAAAACTAATGCTTTCTTAGCATAAGAGGGTGTATTAAAGCATAATATATATATATATTATATATATATATATATATATATATATATATATATATATATATATATATATATATTGCATCCATTTACTTGGAAATCATTTAATGTGATTTGTTTCTTATGTTTCCCCAAATGTTTTCTGTATTTGGAAAAATTATAACATTCAAACCACTTGGACATCTTTTCAGTCTAATATTAGAATCAATCTTTTTATATAAATCAAAGTAATAGTCTTAGAAATATGTTTCCAAATACCTGTCAGGTACAAAGTAATATTTTCAAATATTACAAAGTAACAAAATACAGTAATCAAATATGACTTTAAATATTTTACTGCATAAGTTTTTCTGAATTTTACAGTCAGATATCACTAAAATGTGGTCAAATTGATGAGTTCCAAGAAATTATTCTTTCTCCAATGCTTCCCTAGTTGATAGCATTCAGGATCATAGACAAAAAGCATAGCATCCCTTTTATGTTAATATTTTGCTTCTACTCCTTTACAACAACAGTAAAGTTACTATTAACCAGTAGGGTTATCAATTGGTTTATTACAAATGAATTATTAATATTAACTATTATCTGCAGACCTTGATTAGGTGAAAACAACAGAGTCTTCATACAAATTAAGCTCAATTATTTCTATCAGTCTCTAAGAACTGATAAAAGATTTCTATGTTTTATGAATAGAGTTAAAATATTCATTTGGAAACTATTTTTTAATTAACCTTTCAAAAATCATGGTAATAATTAATCGTTGCCACAAATATTAGAATTTCAGGGTTTACTTAAAAGCTATAACATCAGTCACAATTTTTGATTTGATAATTTTTTTGAAAGCACAAAAGCTGCGAATTTTATAAAACTCTTTTAAATAAAAGCATGCCTTATTTTAGAGTGCTACTTAATCACAAGTTAAAGTTGTTTACATGATTAGGTCCCATATTATCATAATTTTATTTTTAATTTTTCATTTATTACTCCAACAACTATTTTTGTAAGCCTATATGTATCAAATATTACTAAGGTGATAGTGTTATATAAATAAACAAAACATAAACAGGGAAAGAGGAAAAAGTTTTTCACAGTAGATGAGAGGGAATAGGAAATATTCACCTTGAAGGAAATTAGAATCTAGTAGAAGAAGAAAAAAAATTCATACAATGTAGTTCCCCCTCATCTGTGGTTACACTTTCTGTAATTCAATTACCAAATCACCTGCCTTGCAAAAATATTAGGTGAAAAATTTCATTAAAAAAATGTCTTAGTTTCAAATTGTGTACCATTCTGAGTAGCATGATGAAATCCCCGGTGCTATCCAACTCTGTCCCTCCATGATGTCTATCATATCATTGTCCACTGTTTCCATACTCTATATACTACCCCCTTACTAGCCCTATTGGTTGTCAGATCCACTATAACAATAGCACACTCCTTGTGTTCAAGTCTCCCTTAATTAGTAGCCTAACTCAATATCAAAATGCTGATGCTGATTTTGTCCCTTCTTCCTATCTTGTAAGCACTATATCATCTCATTTATCATGAGAGGAAGAGTGAGTAGAGCATAAAAACATTCTTTCAGAGAGAGAGAGAGAGAGAGAGAGAGAGAGAGAGAGATCATATACACATTACTTTTTATATCATTTTACCAATGCTATTTATTATTAGTTGTTATTACTCTGTAACAGTGATTTATTTGTTTATTTTTTATTTATTGTGGTGTTGGGGAGTGAAGTAAGGGCCTCATAAATTCTAGGTAAGCACTCTAATAAGAAGTTATATGCCCAGGCCTGTTGTGCCTAATTTATAAATTAAACTTTATTATAGGGATTCAATTGTAAGAAAGGAGACAACAAATAGGGTTCAGTGTTATCTTTAATTCCAGACCTCAACTGAGGGTGTTAGAATATATTCCCCAGAAAAAAAAGAGGAAAATACTGAAATATGTACTAACATGATGAAATCTGTGAAAAAATATATTAAACATAAGCAGGGTCATAGACTATGATGGGAATTAAATATCTAATATTTTGAAAAGAGTCACAAGGAGCCTATGACAAAGTTATATAGAGTGAAGAGAGATTAAATTATGTGGACATCTGGGGGGAAACTTTACTTAGTAAGGAGCAGACCTCTGAGGTATTTAAATGTTTGAGGAACAATGTTATGATGTGATTGGAATAAATATGTGAAAGAAAAGTGATACATAGTAAAGTCAGAGATGTATAGAGGGCCAAGTTATATAGGATTTCAAACTTAGGCAAATCATTGTAACCCAGTCTGAGTGAAATGTTAATCCTGGTCCATAGAGTGGCATAATTTTACTTAAACTTTAAAAGTAGTCCTCTGACTGGTAAGTGCACAGTAATGAAATGGACAGAAGAGCTATAAGGCTGTTCAACATTTTAGCTGATAAATGATGATGTATGGGATAACTGGAATGAGATGGTCGCATTCAGGATATATTTCTAAGGAAGATCTAACATGATTTTCTGGTAGACTGGATATAGAATACAAGAAAACAAATGAAGAGCAGAAAGGTTTTTGACCTGAACCACTGTAGGAGCAGAGGTGTCCCTTTATTAGATAAAGACCATTATGGGAGGATATGGTTGAGACACTGTAATTAGAAGAGCTATTTTAGACATTTTAAGATGCCTCTTTTGCAGACACATCAAACATTAAAAATCACTATTACGACAAAGAAGTCTGGAATTCCAAAGTAAAGTATGGGCTAGAGATAAAAACTTGTCCATGAAGATGACCTTTAAAGCCATGACACAGGATTGTATCACTTGAGAAAGTGGTAGAAAGAACAATTGTGTGAGCACTCCAAAGGTAGAGGACATGAGCACAGGAAGAAACCCAGCATGGAAAATCAATTGACTAAGTTAGAAGGCAAACTAGGAGAACAAGGTGTATTCTTGACATGGTTTCATATGGTTGCCATGTGATTGCTTGAGCCTCACTAAGGCAATGTGAGGGAAATGGAATCTTTAATAGGTAGAGCCTAGTAGGAAGTTGTTGTGTCACTTTCCTGCCTTCAGAAGAAATTAAAACATTTCTCTTGAAATCAAATTGTTAAATGAGAAAGACTGACTACTGAATCACTCTCTGTCTACCTGGTATATCCTCTTGGTCATACTTCAGCCATCTATGATATTCTCATCAAACCCAAATTGATGCAAGCTCCATCCCTTTGAACCTCCAGAACTATGAGCAAAATAAACTTCTTATATTGCTCAACTGGTTTCCAGTATTTTGTTATAGTATTAAAAATGGACTTAAAAATCCCTCAAGAACAAATGAAGAAAGTTTTTCAAGAAAGAAGTAATTTCTGCATCAAAAACAGAAGGATCATAATGAAAACTATATGAAAATATGTGCTTGTGAATTTAGAAATGTGATTATTGGTAGCAAAGGCCTGTGAAGTTTGGATGGCATGATAGAACCTAAAACCTTAAGGGAGATTCAAAAAAGAATAAGAGGAGAAGAATCATAAATCACAATTTTTAGTAACTCTTTCAAAGACTTTTATTCTGACTTAAGAAGGGAATTCATTCAGAAGATGTGGACACCAGCAAGTGGGAGGCTTTTGATTGTTTTTGAGAGATATTGTTTATGAGAGATATTGAAACAATTTTATGTGCTGACGGAAATTGCACAGTGCTGATTGTGAGTAATTTGGTTTAGAGCCAGCACCATAACTATCCTCCTTATCCATTTATTTATTTATTTATTTTAGAAATTAATGCTTGTAAAAAAAAATGCAAAGTATTAGGTTGTCAGTAACTTAGGCAGTCAGGACTGTGTGAAACACAAATAAGAGAAATCAGGAGATAAGAAATATAGAGCTCTGTAGAGGAACAGAACCAAAAGAGGAAATATATATATATATATATATATATATATATATATATATATATATAAATTTGAGTGTTTGAATATTTATTGATCTAGTATTTATAGATCAAATAATGGATAGTCCCACATGGTTGTTTGCAGGCTGGAGAACTGTAAGAATCATAGCTGCTCTCGTGAAGAAGACTCAACCTCAGAAGAAACAGGACCAATGAAGTTCTAAAGGGCCAATGAAGAAGCCCCTGTCTGAGACTGAAGTCCAGGAAGCTCTCAACAGAATCAGTGGTCAGAGTTGGATGCAATTTGGATTAGTGAAGAAGCTGGTGTGTGATGTCTTCTGGCAATCACAGAAGCAAAGGAAGCTCTCATTCAAGAAAAGTGGACTTTGCATTGTGTTGTTTTCCTCTTTATTTCCCACCTTTATTGCAAAAGAATCCACAGCCTATTGGACTGTGTCATCCACATTCAGGACAGTCAGCTCCTCAATTTGCTATCCCACCTACCTATCATCTCTGGAAACACCCTAAATGACACAGAAGTCTCTTAATCTTAGGCATCTCTTCAGGTTGACAATCAGATTAACTATCACAAGAAGCAAAAAACAAATAAACAGCTACCTACACATTCTGAACATCAGAAAGAGTTATCCCAGAAAGAGCTCATTGATATTTATTCCACAAAGAAAGTTGTATTGGAAACTATTGGCTTAAAATATGTGCCCTATATTCCAGAATAATTAATCTTTTATTTATGAACTTTCTTTTGAGATGGGATTTCTTATGTTGCTCAGGCTTATATCTAGCTAATGATCTCAAGTGATCCTCCTGCCTCAGCCACCCAAATTGTTGAGACTCCAGGCACATACCACTATAACCCGATATTCCTTTACTTTTTAAGATGCACGAAAAATAAATAATAGCTTTGTAAGAAGGTTTTATACAGGAGACAAGAAACTTTAGAACAGAACTGTAAGGACTCAAACTAACTGGAAGATAAGAAACTGGGGAAAGGTTTATAAATGAACTCTCTTCCCTCTCCTTGGACTATACCCAAAGGACTTAAAAACAGCATACTACAGGGACACAGCCACATCAATGTTTATAGCAGCACAATTCACAATAGCTAAACTATGGAGCCAACCTAGATGCCCTTTAGTGGATGAATGGATAAAAATCATGTGGCATATATACACAATGGAATTTTACTCAACAATAAAAGAAAAGAAAATCATGGCAGTTGCAGGTATATGGATTGCGTTGGAGAAGATAAAGCTAAGTGAAGTTAGTCAATCCAAAAAAAAATAAATGCTGCATATTTTCTCTGATATAAGGAAGCTGACTCATATTGGGATAAGGAGGGGGAGCATGGGAGGAAAAGATGAATTCTATATAGGGAAGAGGGGTGGGAGGGAAAATGAGGAGACAGGGGATTAGCAAGGATGGTGGAATGAGATGGACATCATTATCCAAAGTACATGTATGAAGACATGAATTGGGTTTCAACCTACTTTATATGCAGAGATATGAAAAATTGTGATATATATATATATATATATATAATAAGAATTATAATGCAAAAAAGAAAATACATGTATAAAGACATGAATTGGTGTGAAGATACTTTATATACAAAGATGAAAAACTGTGCTCTATATGTGAATAAGAATTGTAATGCATTCTGCTGTCATGTATTTAAAAAAATAAAATCAATTAAAAAAAAAGAAATGACCTCTCTTAGGTATGCTGGTATAAGCAGTGACAGAATATTGACCTGAGAACACAAAATATGTAATATTTTCTTTGTTTTCTTGAATATTCATCGAAGCATTATATGATATATGAAAAAATCCAATTTTTAAAATGAATGTGGTTATAATAAAAGTAACACAGCTCTGAAAGAATATACTTTTCATGTAAAATACAAAAAAATAATTTAGCTTATTGCATGGTAAAATGTACTCAGATACTAAGTAGCCTTTAGTAATTTTAAACCTATGGTCTTGTTGGTATTAATAACAATAATTAGAATTTTTGAACAGTTAACATGCTAGCTCCCTGCTCAGGAGTTCATTTTCATTATCACAGCAGCACTTTAAGAAAGTATAATCAACATCCACAGGTGGAAGGAGATAGTGAGTGTTACATTGGCTCAAAATTCCACAGCTAATTTTATAAAGCAGAGTTCCAAACTGCACTGGAGGAGCTCAGGTACATGGTTATTAAATTTTACTCTTTCCGTGTTGATTGACTTTGCATCTCTGTGACCAAAATACCTGACAAGAACAATTTAGAGGAGAAAAATAGCAGAGGAAAGCTCTGCAGTTTATGGCTGGGAAGCAGAGAGGGGGGAAGGGAAGAAATGGAAGGGGAGGAGAGGGGAGGAGAGAGGAGGAGAGGGGAGGGGGTTCTGATAAGAATATAGACCCTTTTAGGACATGTCCCAGTGATTTACTTTCTCCAAATTGGTGCCACCTCCCAGTAGTATATTTAGCTATTAATCCACTGATGTAATCAGATTCCTCATAATCACAGACCTCATAATACAATGATTACCCACCTCTCAACCTTGCTGCCCTGGGGACTGTGCTTAAAGCACATGAGATTTTGGGGGACATTCCATGGACAAATCATAATGCTCTCCTTTAGAATTTTTGTGTACTAGTAGCAAAAGGAAAGAATAAATTATTGCATACCTCTTTCCCTTAGTTTCCTTTTCTCTGAAATGGGTGATTTAATTACCTATATCTTGAGAGATGTAAATTTGAGAAACGATATATAGTTGTGTGTGTGTGTGTGTGTGTGTGTGTGTGAGAGAGAGAGAGAGAGAGAGAGAGAGAGAGAGAGAGAAGCAAAGACAGAACTGTAAGTGAAATTGCCAGATAAAATTAGAATATCAGGTTCAATGTGAAGGTCAGCCTGAAAAGGAATAATTGTTTAGTACAATGTTTCCAATAAATCTTCACAGTGCATCTTTATAATTAAATATATTTATTGAGCTGACCTAAGTTTTTTTCTTTCTTTTTCTTTTCTTTCTTTTTTTTTTCTATTTTTTTTCCATAGTGCTAGGATTGTATCCAGTGCCTTGTACACACTTACGAAGCACACAACCACTGAGCTACATTCCCAAATTTGACCTTCAAATTTATCTGAGCTGTTTTGTTTTGTTTTTGCTGGGTGTAATAATTCTAACTGCAAGTTAATGGCCTTGGGAGAAAAAAAAATCTAGCCCTAGCATGAGGGGTTTGATGAAAGCCAAGAAAGATGTCTGTGGGAAGATCAACAAAGGGTATGCAGGTTGGTAGGAAGAAAAGAAATAAGGATCAGAACATCAAAATTAGTTGTTTTGACAACCCGCTCAGGTAAGCAAGGATGGAAGTTCTCAAGGGACACACTGAATTTTAGTGTTACTGACTTTATTCCAGAACACTGCCTCAGGGCTAGGCTATGTTCAGCTTGTAGGTTCCTGGTTTCCCTTAATGGTCAATGAGTTGAGGAACATAAGAATAAACATCACAGAGGTGAAGGTTAGTAAAAGCTGTTAACATTTTATGAGAGCAGTAGAGTTTTCTTCCCCTTAGCCTGAGTCTACAAAACTCTAAATATATGTTTACATAGATCTCATTATTTGTTTGGTTTTTTTTTTTTTTATTCAGAAATGATAACCTCTGGATATGAGTGTTTTTTAACCTGTACTAAATATGCATTGAATTATTTTAGTGAAATCCAAAAATAATAAAAATGAAAAATAAATCAGAAAGTGTGTTATTTGTAGACTCTTGAAACTAACTCTGCATTACTCTTTGCATCCTTGGATTTAATTTAAATGATCTATTACTAAATTATTTCCTTATAATTACTCTGTACTTATCAAATATGAATTCTTAGAAAACAAATTATTCAGACCTGGTACTATAAGGAAACCACCTACATTTATTACAAACAAACCATTGTGAAAGTAAAAGAAACTTAACATTCTTAAAAATGTCTAAAATTCCAGTATATTCATGTTTTAATTCATCTATCTGATCTGTCAAATTTGGATTCAGATATTAGTTACATAGGCCTATAATAGACTATGTGTAAACTAAAACAGTTTTTTTTTTCCTCAGCCTTAAATTTTAGCAAAGAGCCCCATCAATTGTTTTTCTTCTCTATTTAATCACAGTCATTTTTTACTTTTCACATAGTGAAAATCATTTATGTAAAATGAATATGTAGTATTAAAGTAAGACAATTATTAACTTTTAAATATGAAATTAAATTTCATCTTTTATATCCCCTTTTCTTATGCTGTCAACATTTGTAGATATTTGATTTAAACTCATAAATTTCTTTTAATTATATTTATTTCTTTCACTTTGAACTAGGAAGGATTTTGGTATAAATAAGAGAGTTCAGATGTAGAAGGAATTACAGTACAAACAATATGCTCCCAATCAACTTTTCAATGTGACTAAATAAGAGTCTCAATGATTACTATTTGTTAAAGTAGTACTTTATAAAACATTGGTATGCCACATAAAAGCTTTCCTATATAAAATGTGCTCTATATGTGTAATATGAATTATAATGCATTCTGCTGTCATATATAACAAATTAGAATTAAAAAATTAAAAAGTTTTCATATAATGTATATAATACGTACCATATATATATATATATATATACAAATATATGCTATAGATATAATATGTAACCAGATAATATGTATATATGTAAAAATGAAAGATAAAAAAATGAGGAAAAATCGCAATTTGTCTTCATTCTTTATTTAAAATTAGAAGTTATTTATTTATTAATGGAAAAAGATATGATTGTAAATATTCATAGAATATCTGAGAATGAAAGATCAAGCAGTTAGAGAATTATGGAACTCCTATTACCTTATAAAGGGTGTCATCAACATTTCTAGTAGCTTGAAATAATAGACAACAGAGAAAAGAGTCTCAAAAAGATCTGGAAGAACTAAAGCCAATGAAAAGGGTACTGGAGCACAGTCCCTGAATGACTAGTTTGGATTTATGGACCAAGAAGTAGTATTTCAGAAAGTACCTAACACTCACATACTATTAGAGTTTGTGACCACTCACAACATTATGCTTTCTTCTGCATTTATGGTTGAACATTTTTTCACTAAACGGTAAATAACACTTTAGAAAATATAACAAATACATAAGAAGTATAAATGTTAGAAACTGGCAAAAATGTGGAAAGTTTTTAGGCAAAATATTTAATTTATTTTAATTTTCTGATATTCTGAATGAGTTGAGTTCTAAATCCAAACAAGAGATGATTTTAAAATAAAATATTTTAGTCCATGCAGTCAAAAATATCAATCTAAAACCCCCGTAAGACTTGGATTGTACATTTACTTGAAAGTACAATATAATTTTTGTATGGTTTCCTTATGCCTAACACATGAAATAAATAGATTGTTATACAAAATGAGATAATTTCTTAAACTTTAACACAGAATTTTAATAGTATTAAATATTTTTTATCTTTTCTGTCTTATAAGAGTGGAACATGAAATTTCAGAAAAAAATTATTTGAATCCCAGTTTGTATCCAATTATGGATTCATTTCTAAGAAATCATTGTGTAAGAATATTATAGTATTTATTTGTTTTTCAACACTTTTCAACTATTGATAAAATTGTATATCTCATACTTGATACCAAAATGTTGAGACTGGAAAAAAGACACCAAACAAATTCTATTAACAAATTTATATTTGTTCTTAATAGAATTGAGGTAGTTCTTGATTCTTTAAAGTCAGTATTCACAGTATTTAGGGTCCAGCTTGCAAATATTCTGAAAATTTGGAATGATCTACAGTAAAATAAATCTCTAGAAGTTTAATGATGAGAAAAACAGAAAGGAAAGAAAGGGGAAAATGAGGCAATATAAATTTACTGACGTTTTAACATTGGATAATATAACTCATTCAAATTTGAGAAGGAATTCCTAAGAAAATATCTGTTAGGTGAAGAGAATCAGTTAAATTGAGCAAGTTCAAATTGCTAGACACAGCTTGAAAGAGGCTTCTGATCTAACTATTTCCCTAAGAGCACTGAGGCACGTTGATATACTCAATTCTAATACTTTTACAATTTTTAACCACTATTGTGTTTAGCATTTATTCAATTTTTCTTGGCGAGGTTGGAACTCCACTCAATAGAATGTTAAAACAATGGTTATTCATGTAACTTACCACCTTGCAGTGTAAATATCAAGTTAAATTATCATATTGACTTCACTTTATCCCAAATACATTTAATATTTTAAAGCTGAAAACCAACATCCCAAAGTAGAATTTTCAAATGCAAACGAAGCTAATATTCTTTTTGTCAAATGAGCTTTGTGTTCCTTTGCAGATGTGGGTAG